CAAAACCAAACTCATACTGGGTCTGTTTAGAAAAAGTCTGTATAACTGTTTGTTGCGGAATGACAGATAAGAGTAAAGCTTCAGGCTCCACAACTTTGTGGCAGGGCCATAAAAATCAATTTATATATATATATATATATAGAGAATATCATATGGCTTTTTCAATATCACATCTGTATCAACCCGAGACACCAATATAATCCCAAGAGCTCTGCTCGAGGGATTATATTGGTTGAGGGTTGATACGGTGTGTGATATTGAAAAAGCCATATCATATACACTTTATTATATACATATACCTCACGTAGATGTTTTTTGTGTGACATGACGTCATACAGGTAAGGAGGTTTGAAATGACGTCATACAGATTATAGGTTTGACATAAGGCCAAAATAAATTAATTGTGTGTTTCCTATTTCATCTTCAAAAAAATTAGGTAGGGTAGGTAGGTAAAACATTTTATTTTATGAAAACATTTTTTTTTTTTTTTATTGATGGGTCGACAGCAGAAAAAAGTTCCAAATCAAATAGTTTGATGTGCGGGCTTCTCTGATATTTAGAAAAGTAATTAAATCTACAGCTTTTTTAATTTTCTGTTTTAATTCTGCGTCAGAAATATGAAAATAAACTTTAATGAAAATTTTATGCATTTCATTGGTCGTAAAAAGAAAAGTGTATGTTCTTCACGATTAATTATCTTAAACCAAAAATGGCAGTGAAAAATCTGGCATGGTATGTTATTATGTTGATCCTCGTTGAACCTAAAAATGTAAATGTCACACAGGGTATACATATGGAAGCAGATTCGTACCCCTTGAAAAAACTGTGAACCGATGCTAAGCAGCAGATAATTATGATTTTTTTAGGGTTAATACTCTGCCCTTGCACCCTCTTTATTTAATATACAGATGTGTTTTGATGTTTGACAAAATGTGATGGTGATTGAAGATTGGGTGGTTCTGACAATATTAAAATTCCAGGTTTTGAGAAGAGTGAGAATGTGAAATCTTTGTCTTATTAATGATGGTAGTAATGCCTGTTAACGTCAGGCGTCAAATGGTCATTTTTGGCTACCGTTAGCGTCAAATTGGTTAAAATTTTACCTTAATTCATCAAAATATCCTTATCCTGATTCTTCAGAGCAAGGATTTGTATACTATAGGTCTCAGATAATTTTTTGGAAAAATTTTTACGTGATTCGTCAAAATCAGTCAATTTTTTAACCGTCTAAAAGAAAGTGTACATTTTATCGTCATGCACCAAAAATTACCGTTAACGTCGTTTGGCAAGATTTTTTAGCGTTATTCTGTCTACATATGATTGTTCTGCCTAACAGAAGTTCCACTGGAAACTTTGTTATAACCAATGTCATAATATCTGTTCCTGTTGGAACAAATATTCTATACCATTCATTCCGTTAGGAACATATACTGTAATATTTATTCCAGTGGAAATAATATTCCAGAACACTTTTTCCATTTGGAACTTCTATTTCGTGACAATTCGTCGTGAAGGTACCTCATTAATCTACTGGTCAAATAAATTGCAGATGTAAATATGACAGGATTTTTTCCCTTTTCTTGTATAAATTGTTATGGGACCAGCCAGAGAAATAAAAAAGAATAAAAGTAGACATGGTGCTGGGGCAGATTCATTTATAAATGAATATGAATCATACACCATGTCTGCCTACTGGGGAAAGCTTCTGAAGTTTCATCTTTCTCGTTCCACATTGTCTGTTCCCTTGCCATCATAAACTAAAAAGCATTAACAGCCGTTTATGTTGCGTCCTGGGCACAATTCTGTACAACATTCGTAAGAGCATGTTTTACAACAAAAGCTGGATTGATTTTAGCAGTTTTTACTATAAAATTGTTAGTCAATTTACCGACAGTTACAGTCTGTCCAACCTGAAACGATTCTGACTGTTGCCGCTGGTCCAAAGAAGCACAGGTACAAGACGAGATTTAGTTAATATATGTATATATACTGAATAGACTTCATTATATATACAAATATTTAAAAAATCTCGCTTGTAAAGGCTGTTCAAAGTGCGTCAACTTCGAATTTTTTTCGTCTATAGGTCCGCTTGATTTTCTTCAAAAAGATTCATCATATCGTAATTATTCGGATTCGATGTCATTATATTTTGCGTGCATGTGATCACATTTCGCATATTTAACAGCTAATACGCTACACGGTTGCCGAAAAGCCATGCTTGTTTATTTAAAATCTTGGTCCTTGAAACGCTTTACTTATCAATATTTGTCATTATTATCAAACGCTTTGAAGATTTATAGTATTCTAAACGAATAATCGGATCCGGACAGACTGACAAATCTGGATTTTGAATTTTTATTTTATTTTTGTCAATAAAATGTTTAGGGTCGGCGTCTGAAACGGAGGTAGGGTCGGGAAACCGGAAACACACCATTTATTTATTTTGGCCTAACGTCATACAAATTAGGGGTGTGATAAAGCCTTTGCAACAGTGTCTGCAATCGATGACGTTACGTCATACAGATTAAAGGTGTGATAAAGCCTTTGCAACAGTGACGTACTGCAATCGATGACGTGACGTCATACAGATTAAAGGTGTGATAAAGCCTTTGCAACCTTGCTGATATCGATATCATCACAGTTGGCTGATACAGAACGCTTGCCAATTTTTGTATTACACATACAAATTATCTGTATTTACTACTAAGTATATAATAAATATATATATCCCAAGAATAAGCATATGTATACATCATGTACATTAAAATTAAATAAACTGATAACCAAGAAGAGATATGTTTATAATTGGGTATCTTTAAAAAATATTTAACCTGCATTGAATTAAAGAATATACATGTTACTAATGGAAGAATTCAAATATTGAAAACATTCAATGAACAGCACAAAAATTCATGAATGTGCATATAGAGCTTAGATATAATTATCAGTGCTGTTTTGTCAAAATTGTACAAGTTGGATCAGATAATACAAAGTGAAAAACTTATATTTTAATACCTCATAATGCTCATCTCTTGTTAGTCTCATGCCGGTGTTATATCTTTTAGGCCTTGCAGCAGGATAACTTGAGTCTGAAATATTTATAGAAAATTGATCAGCAATTTCAATAAAATTGTAAATTCAAGACTACAAATTTCATTATTTGTTAATTTCAATGACAATACAAAATCCTAATGAAGCCATCTTCATGAACAATTCAGACTTTATTTACCTGTCCACTCCAAGAGGATGTCTAGCTTCCGACCCCCCCCCCCCCCCCCCCTTTTTCAAATCGTAGATGCGCATCTGAAAACCCAATATTAAAGATTATAATTGCTTTACGTATAGTGACCTTATCTCGTGGCTTCCTTATCAGTGAATAATTTATATAATTTTAAAAGAAAGAAGCATTTATTTAAAGCCCAAATTACAAACTATCCACGACTGACAAGAAAATAGTGGCGATTGACAGTTGTCATGATTATTGCAATCATGAATATTAATGGTCGTGCGACTCTCTGGTGATAATCTTACCTTTGTTTGCTCGTTTCATTCTGTGATAATGACAGTAAACTTCGTTTTATAAACACACTGATTTCAAAACACTTTCCTCGTCAACGTAATATTGAAGCGAAGACTTTAACGGAGATAACTGTTACATAAAGCGCTTCAATGATGAAAAATATCTTTAGTAGCGGAAACGGAAGTTCTTGTTTGAATTTCTGCGCGCCATTTTTGAAATTTTTATTCCAATAGACTACAATTTATATACAGAAAACCCAACCAGCAATGGATTTTATTTCAAAACATGACGTTTTTGAAATGGCAAAATCGTCGAAAGTGACCGAAGCAGCTGACGGTGTTTTCTTTCTGGTATTTTGGGAGGATAACCAATTTGGTGTGGTTACCAAAAACGACCTGGTTAATATAGCTGTGTCAGAGCTCACAGAGAAAGTTTACGGCCAGAAATGTGAGGCGATGTATGGTACTGACAAATATCATGCAACTCTGATATTTCGAGGTATATTATAAATAACTCATCTGTGCTAGTTTATTTATATCTATTTTTTTTAAAGGGGGGGGGGGGGTACTGTATATTTTTTTATGAGGATTTTGGAAATGTTGGGTTATCTTTTCTCAGAGCCAGAGGAATCTCTTATCATGATGCAGAGGTGGATCAAGAAATTTTCATCAGTGGGGCCTGCTCAGGTCTTGACTCTTGACCAAATAATTATGACGTCTTGAAAGGCTATTATATTTTTTTTCTTTAACGCTACGCAGGAAGGCGTCAAAGCAAAAATTTAAAATAGCCTTCCAATATATGTACATGTATATATATATAGGCTCCTGACCTGGGATAGGCACTTAAAAGATATGAAAGGGTTATAGTCCTGCTTATGCACACTGGACATGGTATCAAGTTCTTTCGTACCCAATGTAAAATTAAACCATTTCGTACCCTATAGGCCAAGTGCATCTACATTACATACCTCATGACATGATCTTACTACATGTACATGCATGTTTACTTATTTCTTATCATTATTCTGTTATGATTTTTTTGCATAATTTGTAGCCATAACGAATACTTCTGATGGAAGTCCGCAAATAGTCAAAAAATAACATAAGGACCAGACTCCGACCTATGAGCTACGGTTCCGCAGCTAATTGAAATTCAGATGATATAAATCTGTGAATTTAATTATTTAAATTCATAATCCTCAAAATTTGATCGTTTGTAAATTTATTTTTTAAAATTTACAGAAATGAAAATAAAAGTTCTAGGGTCGGTCGGGTAACTGGAACCACACATATATTTTTATTTGCCCTTATTTTAAAATAATAATTAACATAGATTAAATTACTGACACAACAATTTAAAACACATGTTCAAATTTGGCAGCATTTTATGGCAAAATGCAAAAAAGATTGTAAACAAATTGAACTGAAGTGATCTTTATTTATTTTTTACATTCAATATACAACATGTATCTATCTTAATTTTAGGAAAAGATGAGGATCAGCTTTATACTATGGCTAATAAGTGTGACGGCATATGGCGGAAAAATAAGAACTCTCAGGTACATTTATGAAAGTCATAAATAACTCACATGAAACTTCAAATTTAAAACAAATTATGCATACATGAATGTTTTTTATAACAAAAAAGCTAGTTTTTATTATTAAAATTATGTACGTATACTCTTTTCCCGAAAATATTCTTTAATTTGTCCAAATTTAAAAGAAATGTACTTTTTTTTAATTGTTGGCTTCTAGACAACAATTTGGTTTACATGTTTTCAGAATGTTGTTGCCTGAGCATGACCTTTCATGTAAAAATCCAGTGATCGCAATACACAAGTGCAAAGGGGAAACCAAATTCTAACATAAACATCGCTCTGTCATCGAAATAAACTATCTTATTGTACATGTTCATGATGTTATACACCTGCTTACCTGAATATCCTTGCTATTTTGGTAATTCAAAACCTTGACGACCATTTATTACATGTAGCTGCCATATTTTCACAACACTGACAGTGAAATATTTTTTTGAAGATTGAAAGAAAAGGATGCATAAAAAATAGGGATGTCAACTCGGTAAAGATTTACTAATCGAGTACTCGTTGGATTTACCGAGCGATACTCGAGTACCCCTTTGTATAACATTTACAAAATGGAAACACAAAATTATACCCATTTTAATATATATATGTATTGTGGGTCGTTGTTTTATGAATGTAAAACCCTCGACAATATTACCTAGATAATAGTCCAAGGAATTTTATACCACAATTAATAGCTCATTAGATTTACTACATGTACTAATTATGTAAACTGGCAATAATCTAATCAAGTAATTAATCAATATCTATAGAAAAATTATTACTCAAACAACAGTATTTGGTAACCTTAAAAAAACACATTTACTGATCATCAAAGGTGTGATGATTAGAACTTACTGATGCCTTTTATCATTTTCTGAGGGTCGACACAGGCTGCAACGAATTTGTTCTTATTTAAAAATATTATTTATGTCAACATTTTCTTGGACGAGGCGATTTCTCAACTTTGTAAGTTAACTAACAGTCCTGCTGCTAAAAATATATGCTCTGACGGTACAGAGGTGGTTGGATAACTATAAGACACAATTAGCCTAAAGTGTAAGCCTTGGAAAGGTGCTCTTGTTCATAGCCTACCTATGTTTGGAGAGATTTTAAATGACAGTTAAACCAAAAATTTGAATCGTATTTTAATTTTTATTTATTGTGATTAAAGTTTAATTTCTCTGGAGGCGCTCTCAATAAAAATAGTTTTTGTTTTAGCTTAAGAAAGCAACAACATACAAACAGAAACCGATTAATCGAGTATCATTTTGGTAATCGATACTCGGTACCACCGAGTGATACTCAAGTACTCGTTGACATCCCTAGTAAAAAATGATAAAACTGTGCACAGAAGACTAAGTTTATGATATATATAGATATAAGAAGATGTGGTATAAGTGCCAATGAGACAACTCTACAAGTCACAATTTGTAAATTAAAAACTATTAATTTAAAGGTCAAAGTACAGTCTTCAACACTGCCCCTTGGCTCACTGAACAGCATTGTCAGCAAGCTGTAAAGGGCCACAAAAATTACTAGTGTAAAGCCATTCAAACGGGAAAACCAACAGTCTAATCTATATAATTTAATTTTGGATGTAACACATCTTCTGATTGGCTGACGTCGTTTTGTTTATCCGCTCATAGACATAATTTAGTCATGTGACTGTGACGTCACCAACTTTTTTTAATGGTTTACTCAGGTTTAAAATGGAATTAAGAATTAAATTATAAAAAATAACTAATATTTTATCTGTCTATTCGAAATAACATAAAAAATGTGGTGCACACTTTAAAATAACCTGCTACGCGGGTTATTCAGTGTGCACCACATTTTTTATGTTATTTCTGCATAGACAGAAAAAATATTACAGTCATTCCTTAAATAATTAATGACTTATTTTGGCTTTTTATAAAGTAACAATTAAAAGTCCTGATCTTAATGAATTATTGTACATCTGTACAAAAAGTGAAGATGCATTTTTCTATTGTAGCCTCCAACAAAAAAGAGGGTGTCTAAACCAAATCTATTAATGGACTTTGAAATGGACCCTAATACATGTACCAGTGAAGACACCACAACTCAGCATGATCAATCAGCTGAAGGACCAAAAAAAGGTACAAAACTACAATGAAGATAAATATTTTATCAGGAGTTAGCTATACATTAGTAAATAGATTGATCTTAATATAAAACCAGAAGATGTGGTATGATTGCCAAAAAGATAACTTAATGCCAGATGTAGATGTTTGCAACTATAGATCATTTTATTGGACTGCATTTCTACAAACATTGAATGTGACAACCAACAGTTTATATTATCTGTGCTTTTTTTTTTTACTTTGATTGAAATTCATGATATTGCTATACATGCTATATGAATAACATATTCATATTATTTATTAATTGCTTTATTGACTATGGTTGGCTTCCCTTTCAAAGTGAGTTTCATTCTGTATTTAATACTCTATTTCATTCCATATTAACCCACAAGGGTGACTGGGGAATAGAAGTATGGTCACCATTGGTCTTCATCCGACCGGCAGTAAAACCCTTGCCAAAGTGGGGCGTCCGTTTGGCTGTGCGGGATGTACAAATTTGCAGACACGGTCAGAATGAGGACGTTAAATCCGATGCCTCGTGTAAAGAGAGTGCCCATGCTCTTTGCACGTTAAGAACCCTTGCAATAACTCTTTGAGGGGTCCGTAGGTGACCTGTTGCAAGGCTAAATTTCTGTCCCTATCCGATATACCCTCATTTCTCCGACCTTAATCTCTTAATCTATTACAGAACCTACCTATTGTATTTATTGTGAACTTGTTCTCGTCCTGAATATGCATGAAATATTTGCCACATGCCGTTAAGCAACCAACAATCAATCAATCATTCCATATTATTTTTAAATCTTTATAAAAATATTTACATTTTGTATTAGCAGTCCAAAGAAAGAAACAAGGTCAACAGAATTTAGATGTGGCTTCAAGAAAGAAAAAACAGGATAAAGAAGATCAAAATGTTGATTCTGTTCCACCAAAAAAGAAATCAAAAGAAGGTAAGGGCTATTCCATTTGAAATTATACACATGTGATTTATCAAAGATAACAAATTGTTTTCATTTCACTTTTCTTTTAAATAATTAAAGAACTGGTGCACAAATTTAAGCCAAAATGCAAATGTTGCACTTTATAAAATTTTATCTATATAGGAAATCACAGTGTACACTTTTGAAGAAATTTCTAACTTCCTGATTAGTATATTCAAGTTAAATCAAAAGTACAGGTAATGTTAAAGTATGTAATTAAGGAAGTTCGCTACTCAGTTTCAAAATAACAAGCTTTTCATAAACTAGTATATATTGATAAGGGATTTATATAGGAACCAAAACAGCAAAAAAAATATATAGGTCAATGTGCTTGTTTTTGAGATATTAGCCATTAAAATTTTGGCAGGAAAATGTTCTCTCTAGATTTTGTATAGCTTTACCATTGACAAGTTTAAGCTCTCAAAAACTATTAAAAAATAACAAAGATTTTATAAAACTTTTACAGATGGCTTATAATCATACATGTAAAAGATTTATAAAAAAGAAAAATGGGGGTCAATGGGCAAATTTTTTAAAGGCATTCAAATGGATAAAACCAGAGGATTCCGAAAATCTGACAAAAAATCCAAATTATGACAAGCGAACATCCTTAACAGAGTCTGATGATGATTCACAGCCTGAATCATGTGTTTTATTTGCATATAAAAAAATCAATTTTACGTTCTGCCATATTTGTTTTTGATATTGTAGAGGGCGCTCTTATCATTTTCAAAACAATTTTTTACCTGAAATTTCATGGCGAGGAGGAGGATGCTGACAATGTACAAGTGTGAATTATACAAGCCCCATTAAGGTGCTTGAAATATTCTGAACGATAAACATAGAATAGACTAATTCATTTTCTAATTTTCAGAACTGCAAAAAGAGAAAAAGGAACGTCAGATAAGCAGAAATGCTGCAATGGAGGCAGCAACAAAATGGATTGAAGAGCATGCCACTAATGTAAGCATGGAAACAAATGTAGATGTCATTAATAGCAGTGTCACTAACAATATCCCTGCAACTCAACCTAACACACAAGTCCCTTCTAGCCCTGCATCTCAAACAGACCATAACACAAAAGTCCCTTCTAACCCTCCAGCTCCCCCACATCCTAACACACAAGTTTCTTCTAAACCCCCATCTCAACCTCCCCCACATTCTAACACAGAAGTCTTATCTAATATTGCAACTCAACCATCCCAGCAACCTAACACACCAGTCCCTTCTAATCTTCCACCTCCCAGGCATTCCAACCCGCAAGTAATTTCTACCCCTGCAACTCAACCCCCACCACATCCTAACACACCAAACACCTTTAATCTTTTATCACAACTTCCATCTCATCCAAACACGCCAGCCTTCTATAACCCTGCAACTCATCCTCCACCTCATCCTTATTTTTCTACCTATTCTTACCCTTCCACTCCACCTCAACCTCATCCCTACTATAACCATAACTTCTTTAGTGCTAGCAATTCTGCTTTTTATGACCAAACTCATCCCAATTTAACAAATCCCTTGCTTAATACTTCATGTACTTCTAATGATAAAAACCATGTGAATTCGGACATCCAACCATCAACCTCATCCTGTATGTCCACCGCACTTAGAGCGCTGCAATTTGTGGAAAACGATAATAATGATGAAAATGTAGATATTCAAGATGAAACTATTAATATTTTAAATGAGGAGTGCCAAGGTTGCATAAATAAAACTCTAAAATTAGAAGCTTTAAGTGGTGCCTTAGAGAAGGCAAGAGTTGACAATGAGGCCCTTCTCAACAGGATTAGATACCTGGAGGATAAAACTGGTAGGTTAAGTCAGTTACAGTGGATTTGTTTTGCACACATTTGCATGGGGAGAAAATTGCATTGCGAATAGGTACCACTAGCTGCTGTAATATTTGCTATAAACCTAACTATATAATCAATTCTGCAGTATTTCTGATTTCTACGAAATTTGGATGCATTTAAAATTATTTAAACTGCATAAAAATTATTTCTAGCATATTAAGTTTTGGTCAAAACATCAATTAAATTTTAGATTTGTGAGTGATATATAGAGCTATTACATGGTAAATTGTATAGTCGTAACAGACACTCCTTTCAAAAATTCGTAAGGGTTCCGCGGAACCCAGTGTCTCGCCTACTTTTTCTGTTAATCGCAGCCTCAACAAAAATGAGGAAGTAAATCAATAAAAATATTCCTCTTGATACTATCTTTTGATTGCAAGAAGCTTCTGTCCAAGTTTGGTAAAAATACAGGATAGTTTATGAATCAAAATGTTTAAAAACTTTAACTGCAGACTGAATGTAATGTTAACTGGAAGAAAACAAAATTTCCTTCTAGATACTAGCATTTGATCATAAACAAGCTTCTGTCCAAGTTTGGTACAAATCCAAAATAGTATAAGAAAGTTATTAAAATTTTAAAAACTTTAACCACAGAGTGAATATTTGTGGCCGCCGACGGAATGTAGGATCGCTATGTCTCGCTTTTTCGACTAAAGTCAAAGGCTCGACAAAAATGTCATAATATGGTCAAAATATGTTCTGTTAACAAAAGTACAATTAAATATTGAGTGACCACAACTGCATATCTCTACAATGTATAGTATATTTTCTATTAACCCTTTCCTCCATGGATTATTTTTTATCATACCTGATTCGCATATGATTTTTTTCAATAAAAAAAATCATTAGGTTTAAAGTATTAATGCATTGCGAATACAAATATTTCATCGATGAAATTTTATCCTTTTTATATTAGATATAAATTTTATCAAGTCTAATACAGATTTTTCGTAGACAAGATGTTTCAACTGAGGCACTACACAGGTGTCAAAAGGCGTCATTATGGAGTAAATGGGGGTGGCATCAAAAGGCGTCATTATGGAGGAAAGGGTTAAAGGCCTTAGTACCTTTGTAAATGGTTTAAATAAAAACAAAAACAATTTTTTTTTAGAAAGAAGTGAAAGACAGCCACAGGACGCCACAGAAACTGAAGTATTTGTCGACCACTACATACCGTCTCGTGGTCTTCAAATTGATCACTCTAATTATGTAAGTGGAGGTTTGTTCTAAAACCAATTATCAACAATTAATGATATGCACAAATCATTATAAAGAAAAATGCATGGAAATGATAACATCTGTCATGATAACATCTAATGACAGATGTCGTAACAAAATTTAAACCAATGAAGAACTGAGATCTATTGAAACCAACACATTGGGGAAAGTATAAATTGTCTTACAATTATAGAAATGTATATAAACTTAAAAATTAGCATCATAAAATATGGAATTAGATATAACTGTTTCTTCCAATAAACATACTCTAAACCATGTAAGACATGTAAGATACATATAGGAAACATAAAAAAAAATTCTCTGCACAATTAATATCTACACTATAACATGAATGTAATATATTGATTAACATGATTAAGATACGACAATGTATTAGTTTTTCTCTTTCAATATAAAATATGAATACTGTTGTATTAAATCTTGTATTTTGGTCTTTTACAGAAATTGGTTCCATTGGATCAAGCAATACCTCCACTTTATGAGAGGATTGGAGGAACTGAAGTTTCAGTCCCTCAAAAGTGGATGGTAACCCTTCTATCCAAGTGTAAAGGCAAAGGCTCCTCCTTCACCATCAAAAAAATGCTAGATGGCTTTTTTGAGCCACAGGAGCTAGTTGGGCAGAAGGCCAGTAGTCTCCGAAACAACAAGATAATTCAGGCTATACGTTGTAAGTTGTCATAGATAATACTGAAAATATATCTAATGTAAAAGGGTCTTTTTCATTTTCTTTTAAAATGAAATGAAATTATGCTTTAATTGTCAGACAATTTCTTAATAAATGATCTTTTATCATTATTAAAGTTTTAAAATAGTTCTTTCACAATATGTATCAAGATATAATGTCTTTAACAAGTTTTTTTTTTTAAGAATTTCCTGTCTATGGGTAAGGAACAAATCTCTAGATCAAAACTGTATACATGCCACTATAATTTGACACAAGTAGAATGAAATAGAATAAAAATTTATTCCTGTCTGCCATTATACCCTTGAAAATGAACTTTAGTTATTGAATCTAACATTTTATCTATACACTTACTGTTTGTCATTTTTTATGACAATTTAAAATTTTTGAATGGGCTTTCTAATTGTGACAGGGAATAAGAGCAAAAAATTTATAAGTTATATTTAAGTAAAGGCCATTTCAGAATAAGTTGTATGAAAAGGATAGGAAGACCAATTGATAAGACATAGAAAGTGGCCTTCAAAACGTGCAATTATGCAGGGTAGGAAACTCACTGAAATGTCTACCAGACCACAGGGCTGGCTGCATAAAAAAATTACCTGTCCTGATCAAAATTTACCAGCCCTGAAAATTAATGCAATAAAAATCAAACCCATTTTCCTTCAAGATTCTAAATTATGTTTTTGTGTTTTGAGATGTTTTAATGACTAGAAGTATTATTAGATAAATTTGAGGATTTTTTGTGATGAAAATGACTTATGACTGCTTTTGTAAATACACACTGCAACAAGACTTACAAGTGCACATTTAAGCAGACACTGCTAAGCCTAATGACCATTTGTTCAGAAGCAAGGTGTGATTTAATTTTTGGGCACTGGGGGTGTTAGTTATTCTTCAGTGTAATTCAGCATGCCTTTGTTTGTACCTTTGTTCCACAAAATTACTTTTAAGCAAATAAAAATAAAATTTTGGTTTCATTTATAATTTTATTGCTCCTCATTTTCACAATATTTGAAACTCAACCACTCGAACTCCATTTTCCAACCAGGAACAATTGTCCGCTTCCTCTTAGACTGATCGTACAATTTATTTTTTCCTGTTGAGTCAACAGCAGTTCGCTTTTTCGGCAACGAAAGGCCCAAGTACTGTCGTAAAGACATGAGTTTACAAAAACAAATTTGTACTTTCGATTTCCTCTTATATTTATTTTTTATTTAATAAACGTGATCGCGATTGGACGATTCGATACCAACTAGCCAATGAGTGAGGATCTTACAAACAACAGGTATCACCATGTTCCCTGCAGAAATCGTGTGGAAACATGTGGTAGTAAAAGGTTAATTGGCAGTCATGATTCTTACGTGCTGTTATGAATGGGGTAATACTGAGAACTCATTCCAAAAATAGAAAAAAAGTAATCCCAAACACCTGCAAAAAATAGACCGTCCACCGGACTGTTGAAATTTAATTTTTGACCGCCCGATCGTAAAATAGGCCGTCTCGGGCAGGCTATAATTTCCAACTCTGAATTATGTTTTAACACAATAACACGTTTGTATGATTATACTTTAATTCATATGCTAGATGGATCATAGTTCTACTTTTATTTTTCAGTATATATAATCAACAAATTTAATGTCAAAGACAGTGACTTTAATAGTGCTTTAAATTCCAAGATACACACCTGCAAAAGGGCATCGACAAAGATTATAGAGAAGAAATGATTGTTTCAATTTCATGCAATGGAGTCTTACTTAATATTTGACAATTTGAAATGTTTACACAAGAAGATGTGTCACAGTGTTTCAATGGAGAGCAATTGAAGTTATTTTTATGGATTATCATTTGTCCCTGTTATAGAACAGTTACATATTGGGTGGTGAAAAATTAAATGTGACATTTTATACTTATTTGATGATGTTAAGAACAAAGAGACAAATAGTTACTATTTATTCATATTTATTATTAATTTTTTAATCTTAATCTGCATGGCTTCATTTTGCTATCCTTTGACTTGTTTGAGAGATCTTAATTAAAGGATGTGAGCACTAACATTTACTTAAAACCTCAACTGAACCTATTTAATGAATGGTCACATACAACGTACTGTTTCATGTTGTCAGAGGTAAAAATATATGATTTTGATCAAAGAAATATGAAAGTGAAAAGCTTATAAATGCATCAGATTTAAATCAAAATAAGGTGTGCCTGGTAAGAAATAAAAACCACCAAACAACCAAATGACACAAAAAAAAAATGTTGGAAAGATTTTTTTGTTGAGTGATATGGCAACATTATAAGATGGTCCTTAGCTTGAATTGAGCAGTAGATTTTAAGGTTTGGAGGTGTTTTTTTTCATTTGCTGAGTGAATAATTATATGCCCCCATAATACAATAGCAATTTTATTTTTTAAATACAGTATCTTCTGTAGGGCATTGATCAGCATTTTTAAATCCTTTAATGAATAGAAAAACAAGAAAGTCAAATATTTCAAAGATCATTTAAATGCATCTGGACCTACTATTGTAGAAATACAAAAATCAACAATTTTTGTTATTTATCCTATAGTTCTTTTTTCTCAAACTGTTTATTTTATTATTGTGTGCATTTGTGTCAAATGTCTGTTTTTTTAGATGGTTAGAATAAAATAAAAGTTAATTTGCTTTATAGTACATTATGTCTTTCTTTCCTTTTTCAGAAGAAAATGCTGACAAATTAGCTGCAACATTGCCGCAATGTTGCAGCTATTTGTTGCGGCAATGTTGCTGCAACTGTTTGCAGGAAAACTAATTTGCATACGAAAAATGAATATTTGCCGCAATATTGCGGCAACATTGCAGCTATTAATTTTCCTGCAAATATTTGCCGCAATGTTGCGGCAACTGTTTGCAAGAAAACTCATTTGCATACGAAAAATGAATATTTGCAGCAATATTGCCGCAAATAGTTGCGGCAATATTGCTGCAAATAGTTGCAAGAAGCCATATTTTTCCATAAGGGAAGTGTATCGACCTCATACAACAGCTATAATTGTATATAGATTAACTTTAAAAAAATCTTTAGTGCTTAGGCATTAACTTATTGCCTAGGATTTAAGCTTAACTATCATGCCTAATTTCACTTATTGCCGCTAACATATATATAGTATGATATATTGATAAATAAAAAGTCCTTGGTACAGAAAATATAGTTTGAAAATAAATAACACATAAAAAATCACATTATAAATCCAACATTGTTCCTGTTAGCGCTTTCACCCCATTTCCTATGGTTCATCAGTTAGTCAGAATTTCAATGTATCAGGGAAGATCGATATATGGTGGATACTAGGTCAGTTTATTGGCAAGCAATATATGATTATTCATTCAGATTTGAAAAGAATAATATTTTTGTTCAATTTCCTTTTATTTAGGCCAGGAAAAGTTTATGGAAGGAGATTCAACGACATTCAGTCTAGTCCTGGACGCAGATGGAGTCGAAATAGATAATGATTTTTTCAACAGTTTAGAAGGAAATGTCATCCTCATGCTACTTAAAACAGGGGAGACCTGGGAACCACAAGGTAAGACTACGTCATGCATGCATGTACTCATTGGCTCATATTAAAAAAAAATTGGTCCCATATATAGCCAGAAACTGCCATAAGAGGGGACCCACTCCAGTCATGCTTCAGTGATTCCTATATAAGACTAATTAAAGCCCTGTGTATTGATAATTTGTATTTTTTACTCAGGCCCAAGGGGGGTCTTTGTTCTCTATAAAGATGCTCAGTCTGGTTTGCATAAATGTTAATCATTTAAAATTTATTATTTCAGCATGACACAAAACAATGTTGAAAACAGTTTTTCGTGTTTTAATAAAAAAAACTTCTTGCTAAGCAAACAATTTTAGTCTAAACTTCTTAATATTTCTCATCAGGCATTAATATATACCAGTCAAAAAAGTCATCGCTAATTGATATAGTAGCTTGTGAAAAGAGACTAACCGGAACTAAAATAACCTATCATCTTCATACATTTTTAACATTGTCTTTTGTATGTAAACAGAAGCAGTCCATCTGGTACCCTGGCTCATTCCAGCTAACCATGCAGGAACCCATGCTTGAACAGCATGATTTCCCAGTTAGATCAGTTATATATACAGAGAACCTTTAAAAATTTGTCAATTGCCTTACACATCCAAAATATAAGGGGGAAAAGTAAGGAACTTCATGTTTTGATATTTATCAATTGAACCTTTACCAATTGTTATAAAATTTTGCCATTCTTCATTATTAGTTATAACTACTAATAGCCTGAGTTTCTGACTTTTTGTCACATGAATCTTGTTTTAATGTATTTTGTGCAACTTAAGTCCCACTTTGTCCCATGAATCCCTTTATTTTCTATCATCATAAAATGCCCCTTTAATCTTTATATGCAAGAAGGGACAACATTGGTGTCAGTTAGGTGCTTTATAAATGAAATTAGACTATTCATTTATTATTTTTTTATTGTAGACAATAAATTCAATAGACATGAAAGAGTAACTTTAAAATCAGAAGGTTAGTACAATTAACTAGTAGACATGCTCAAATAAAAGGTTATTAGTCCCCTACCAACGAAGTTGAAGGGGACTTTAGGTTTGCACTCTGTCCGTCTGTCCGTAATCAGCTTTCCACACTTTTTATTTTTTGTTATGCTTGAAGATATTGGTTTGATATTTGATATATAGTATAACCATGACAAGTTACATATCAAGTTCTAATTTTGTTTCGGTCAGATGATTTTTTGCAGAGTTATGGCCCTTGGACTTAGAAAACTCACATAAGTAATCTGTTTTCCATATTTTGTTTTTTAATGCTTCAAGATATTGACTTGAAATTTGGCTTGTAGTTAAACCATGACAAGTTAAAGATCTGTTGCAAATTGTGTTCCGGTCTGATGATTTTTTGCAGAGTTATGGTCCTTGGACTTAGAAAATTCATGCAAGAAATACATTTCCACTATTTTTTTGTCATACTTAAAGATTTCCATTTGATATTTGGTTTATAGTTTTAACGTTACAAGTTAAAGATCATGTTTAATTTTTTTTTCTGATCTGATGATAGTTGGCAGAGTTATATGATCCTTAGACCTAGAAAAATAACACGATTAATCAATTAAAATTCTGCATTTTTTTTAGTCATGCTTGACTATTGTCATATTGATTTGAAATTTGGTATCTATAGTTTTAACATGACATTTTACACATCAAGTTTGAATTTTGTTTTCCGGACAACAAATTTTAACTGGTAGGGGACTGTGTATTGCCATGCAATACTCTCAGAATGCTGGATACTATCCATGCTGTTCTGTGTCCACACTTGTTCTTCTTTAAAAAACAATTTAAAAGGCCAGAATTAAAATATTGTTTGTTTTCCCAAATTAACTACCTACAGTAGCCATATGATTTAAAGATAATAAATGATGAACATGTTATTAATTTGTTGATGTATGGCAACTCAGGTAGATTATATAGTTACCAATTTAGTGTCTGTATGATTTGAACCATTCAACCAAAGGTTTTCAGGTTATAACATTTTGTTACTTTTGATGAAATGGTGGCAGAGGTAAAGTTGAAAATACATGATTTTCATTTTCACTGTTCAGGAAATTTTGAAAGATTTAAAAATGGCATTTCCAGTCGTGTCAACAATAACTCATTGAACCATTCAACCAAAACTTTTTAAATCTGATATGTTGTTAATTATATAATGACAAAATGAAGGTCAAGTTTTATAGATATATTGTTGATTTTCATTTTCACCCTTCATGTTCAGAAGCTATGATCAGCTATGGTTAATGAAAAAAATAGCATTTCAAGTCCTGTCCAAATTATATGCCGTAAGTTAATCATTATTCTAATATGACCTCTCTATTACCCTTTGTGAAAATAGCCATGATAAAATTCTCAATATATCTATATTTAGCGCAGACTCAGTAACATGCATATTTTCGGCTGTTACATTTTACTCCCATAAAAATCCAAACTTAATGTAACATATTTTGTTAAGGTTCTTTTATCATCAAAAGTTCCAATATTTATAGTTCATCCACTATTAAATATCAATAGCTTTTAAAAATTTCAATTTCAATGACATATAGATATATATTTTATCCTATGTGTAATGAAAATTATCGGAAAAAATCATGTCCTCTCTGGGATTTTTAAAATTTTATCATTGTTCTATTTCCATTGTTTTCAAAACAAAATTGCAGACGTCATTGCTACGAAAAGAAATGGTTAAATGACTGATTTATTCTTACCAAAAACCTAACCCTTGCCAGATTACATATATATATATATACAATGGCATTGCTTAAGTATTTGACTGGAAATTAGAAATTTCATCGACGTAAGGGACAAAATTGACTGAGACAGGATTAGTTGCCAACGGTAAGTTTCTGAGAACATTCATTTTTACATTAAAAAAATAATACAAACAGTTAATAATAATCATTGCTTCTGTTGCTATTAAATAACTGATTTGCCTTCTTTGCCTGCTGTAAATGTATCTCTTTGATACAAATACAGTCAGAATAACACACTTTTATTTGACAATGGGGTGATACTTCAAATATAACAGCCACTTTTTCTTCGCTTCAGTATTTAAGATACATTTTTGTCCTATTTACACATGGCCTGGCCGGCCAGGCCATGTGTAAATTATACAACAAATCTATGGCTTGCATGAATTATTTCTTAATCATACTCACAAACAGTTCAACCAAAGCTTTTTAAGTATTGATCTGTTGTAACTAATGTGACAAACTGAGGACAAATTAAATTTTAACAATTTTCCACTTTTGTATTTGTTTGACATGTTTGAGGAGTTTAATGATCCTTGAAATGTAGAAAAACTTGCATTATAAAAATAATTGTAAAAAAATCTGTTTGATGTCTGTG